TTTGACTCAAGATTAAAATCAAAATAACAACAGTAAATACCAAAGTACCTAATGAATTTCTTGTCTTTCACTTCATCATGCTACAATTTGATTAGAAAATCTTCAAAATCCAGACAAGATAGTCCTTAGCAAATTAATTTATAAAAAGTACCTAGTTTAATTAATAATATGGGCTAGTACTATTGTCTGATTCGGAGCCTGAATTAAATATAAATTGTAAAGAACCTTTTTGGAGGCGTCAAACAATGCTTGGTTCTCAACTATTCTGAGGCACAGAGACTTGTAATGGATGAGCGTCACAATTAAACGTCAAAGGCTCCTCCAAGGTTATCTGGCTTCCACATAAGGAATTCATCGACATTCAATGGAGTACAATCAACGCCCAATGAGATTGGGATTCTAAACAATTGGCTCGAGGGATCTGCCAACACATTGTGGGAGACTTATTTGAAAACATGAAATGGATTTTGTTATAAAAGGTAGGAAGTTAGAGGTAAAATGATAGCAAAGGTGGATTAAAAGTAAAATTCTATTTACCTCATCTAGTCAAGACTAGTTCAATTTTATTTTAACTATTTGCCTATATTTAATGACCTGGCTTGTGTCTTTATTTAATCTCTGTAAATATATTTTTCTGATTATAAAACAACATCTATGTGAGAGACGAAGCATTTTTAACGATTACTTTAACAACTGGTTGAATTTATTGTTATCATCAAAATTATTATTTTAGTAAGCCCACATTTATAACAAAATCCCTATTTATACATACAAGTATATGTGCAAGAGACACATTTTTTGGCTGTCCTACGTCATCGCTAAGTATAAAATCTACTTTGACGTCATCCATTGTTACGAGTCAATGCATCACTGTAATTTGTTGCTTACATGGATAAGATACATGTTCACAATTTTCATTATTTTTTATCAGTTAGACATATTATCATAGTTGATCTTGATCATATTTGCAATAGTGACCTCAGCCATCTTTGCTTGTCAGTACTTGCTTTTTTATTTATCTTTTGGTGTAGCCATGTTGATTTATTACACAATGATTTGTAAAATTATTACTAGAAACTCTTACTAATAGATGATTTTTCGTAAATATGCTGACGGTTATCGATATTCCAACATTTTATGACACAAGTTTATTGAAAGGCAATGATCAATAGCATTCAAATCATATTAACATCGAAATTAGATAGTAACACGGATAAAGAACTACAATCAATACCCAGATCAATCCTCTGTATCCCTGTACAGAGGATTAAATTATAGTTAGTCGACCAAACAGACTCAGTCCTAATTTACCACTGTATTCGTTGGTCAAATCATAACTATAGTATAATAGTTAAACTAGAGATCATCGAATGACTGCTCCCGCCTGGGTGAGGCGGGAGGGAGTGCCAGACTCTTACTGACTAAAAACCACCCCGTTCCTTCTTCTGCACGTTGAGCCGGAGCCCCGGTTACCCGTTAGGTTCCCCGCGACAGAGATCTTGGTTAGAAAACTCATGATCAAAAGATTATCAGGTTTATAAAACTCTAGATTTTCAATAACAACTCTCAATAGTTTAGAACTCAGAATTAATTGAACTGATTTAAAACACGTGAAAAATTGGTTCAACTAATGTATATAGCAAAATAGAAGAGATATTACTCAACTGTGAATATATCTGCTCATTAATTCGTAAATGTAATATTTTTGCCATTACAGGGCTTGTATTTTTTGTCAAGTTGTCACGACTGAGATTGACGACGGTTTGACATATAACGCTACATAATTCCACCCGAATCATGTTCCAGACTCCGATCTCTTGTCAATACTGTCAATCAATTTTGTTACTAGTTACGTACTTGTATCAAAGTTAATATTGGCATATTTAGAGTTACGTTAGATGCCTTAAATTATCAATTTCTTTACCGGCTGTGTTGAGTTTGCAAGTGTCGGGTACTGGCGAACTAATTGCCTTAAAGTTAAATCGAAGCACAAACATTTTAGCCATAGTTTTGACAGAATCGAAAAATTTTAATGGTTTTCGTTCTGTACTCTCTGCTTGCTTGTATATAAAAATGCTTAAGTTAGGACCTAGACGTCTTAAGTCTTCGGAGTCGCGGAGAACCTAACGGGTTACCGGACGGGTTACCGGACGCGCAGGAGTAGGAACGGGGTGGTTTTTAGTCAGTAAGAGTCTGACACTCCCTCCCGCCTAACCCAGGCGAGAGCAGTCATTCGATGATTTATCCTCTTAAAAAAATTAAGACGTCTTAAGTCTACTAAAACAAGTCTGTCTACCTATGTTCCTAAGCCAATATTTAATCGAGTAATTATTTTCCAATACTTCTGTACCGAACTCGACCTACTTTATCAAAAAAACATTTTGTTTTTCAAAGGTTATTCTTAGAATCCAATTCTAACAACTTTTACTGGTTCGATTAAATTAGTTCTTTGATTAGATTACCAATATAACGTATGTTTTACATGGTAGCCAGGCTAGGTGCTTGTTGAATACATATAATTTTGATAAAAGATATAATCGACCTTGATAACTTATTAATTAAGGTGTAAATAGTAAGTAGCTTGTTGGGATTACTGGAAGTGGACACAACTGCTGATTACGTTTATTATAGAAGAGAAATTGGATCAATTGTACATATAATGCAGTCGGTTGATATTTTTCCTTTGTTAGAATGTTACAAATATAAAAAAGTGCATACTCATCCAACTGAGACGAACATATTGCCAATTCATGTAGGGATCAAAATAACAGGCGAACGCACTTTTGTCTTTAGATAATATTTGCACAATTTTTTCACTTATTTGTCACAAACTCACAAATTTTGCACATCCAGTTCCTTTGTGTCTCAGCCCACTTTTTAAACAATATACCTATGTACCGTGCACAACAACGAACATTCCCAACCAACTGACTGATTAAGGACGTTTTGTAAGACTTTGAAATTGTTTCACTTTCAAACAAAAATGTTTCATAACAACATTCAGTTAAAAGTTAGTTTCCCTCGAACATTCGCTTCCGCCTGAAACGTAGGTGAATCCAAACTTGTTTAGCCGAAACAGATAGCATTTAATTAACATCAACTAGAATTCGTTAATTCAATAGACTTGGTACCTATACATATACATTCCGAAGTAGTGCATTATTAATACCAACATTCGTAATCATTTGTACGTATATGTTGGCATTAAAATGAATTCAATTTTCACAAAAATACTAATGAGTAAGTAATTAATTTGATATTTTAAACAATAGGCATCGTATTTAGTTCAGTTTCAGATCCAATCCAGTTTATTGTATGCTATTAATCGCACGAATAAGTAGGTTATCAGAATCATCGGTAATAATCGACTGAATAATCTTTCAATTTTAGGTATTAAATGCTCATAATTTGTAGCTAGCGTAATATACATAGTTAGTAAATAAATTATTTAGAAGCAACATTGGAATCATAAATACATAGCTATATTAAATTCTTTTGAGCAGCGTTGATATTAGCACACTATAAATCGGGAACACTTGGATGCATGCCACTAGTAGGTAATGGGAAACACATACGGCAGCTTCAGTAGTCGATCTATGCGTTTGCTTACGTTTTCGAGCACCTAGCGGAATTGACCTCCGCTCTATAATGAGTAGTAATTGTTCACGTAATGATCGCGTAACTACCGCAAGAACGCGTGCCGACCACCGAGCGAGATTCTCAACTGTTTTATTTTAAAGCTGGCGGCGCACTTTGGCCGTGAAAAATATTGCAAAGGTGTAGCAGCTCAGTATAACACTGATGAGCAATAGACAATGTCGTTCATTGACTGCGAACAAGAGCTGTCTCGTGCATTATTAATTGCTAAAGCTGTTTCTTTTTTCGAATATCGAAGCATGAAATCGTATGACACGGTATCCCAATTTGAGGCCATCGGAAAATGTAACAATTCACTTTTATTTAAAATATTCAAGCATTCTAAATAATAAAATTTTAATATGAGTGCACGATTTATCTTCTTTTAGGTTTTAAGATTGTTATCTAAAGCTGCAGTGAACAAGAAAATGGTATCTGCAGTTAATTATTATGCATGGAGCTGCTATGTTTGTTCACTCAATTAATAAAGTTGCGTATGTGTTCTCTATCACGTAGATCACGAGTTTAATGACATAAGGAAAGATATGAAAGATTATAAATATATATTTGCGATTCATCGCAACGTGTGCCAATGTAAAAATTAAATGACTTCATACGGTTATGCACGTGGTCGACGTTTTTGGTAGTTCGGACCTTGGACTAATTTTTACAAAAAAGGGTATTGTGTTGTTCAAAGGTCATAAAATCGTAAAATAGATATAAATCTGGTAAAATCAGAATAACAATTAAGTAACTATAATAAGCAACATACATAGTCAGTGTAGGTTTGACATACATAGGGCATTTATTTCGTTATCAAGTTTTATCAACAATAGATTTTGGTTCTTATTGATACAATTATCTTTTTAGTGTAATGACTGTATCTTGTAAATAATGAAGAAAATTGATAAAAAATTTCTAACGTAAGGACCTTACATTTATAGGATTGCAGGGAAAAAATGTAAGCAACCTGTATTTGTTACAACATAGATTTAGCGTTATCGTAACCCTATTGGTATCAGCGAGTGCGTCGGCCAATTGCTGTAATCGAATCAATTTGGTCTGAAACGAAGCCCACCGGGCAACCGCGCCGGTCGGTACCCTCCCGCAGTTCCACGTTCATTGTGTATTTACAATAATGCATCGCATCCAGTTCAGAAAGTTATCTCCCTGTTTGACTAAGCACTTTGTTTCGAATTTGCAAACAGACTGCTATCTTATCGGCTCATATTAGTAGAAGTTGTACGGCGGGTACACGCGTCGGTGACTGTTTCCTAAAACTGTGATGTGAGCTCTCATCTGTGTTAGTGATTAAACTCTGTGATTTTTTGTTTAGATCGTATTGAAGATATTGTTTAGTAACAATGAATGAAGGCACCGTTGATATCCAAAGTGAATTGGAGAAATTAAGGTTTCCTCTTTATTTTATATGTTGTATATTTTAATTTGATTTGATATTTCTGTTGTGTTCTGTATATTTTTATTATAAAATATACTTCTGTATATTTTTATTATAAAATATACTTACGTACGTTATGCCATATGGTTTATGCCATTTAACATTAGTAAGGTATTGTTTATAGCTACTTTAACGTGAAAACGTGGTTAAAATAGCCTTTACGATAAAAAGTAGTACCATTTAACTGTCCACTTGTATCATTTATGAAGGTTTTTATTGTTTTACTGGTAACACACAGCCGCTACTCTGTGTCTATCAACAGTAGTTACATTAATATGTATTATACGTAGCTCTAATTAAGGAATAAGTGGTACTAATAGAAAGTGTTACAAATGTTGCTTAGTATTCAATGCATGTGATGGAATCATTTCTCTTTGTACAGACGTCCGTCGTACAGGCCACCTCCAGACAATGAAGAGATTAAAGAAACGAAGACTGCACCAAGTCAGGAGACTGATGATCCACAGAAGTACCGGCTGATACTAGAGCCAGCCCTCGTGGGCGCTATGATTGCGATCAATCTAGGTCAGACCTCGCTACAGAACTTTTATTTGCAAACAGCCTGTACAGTCGACCTAGGGGTGGATTTAGAAGTTTGTTTAAAAGGAGATATGGAGGTAACTGACTTATACCTACCTACTTTTATTTACAGTTTTATCAATGTGAATGTAATTCGCTTTTACATGCACCTGCATGGAGGATATTTTTATGATACTCTGTACTTGAGTAATCAATGAGTAATCATCAAAACTGATGGTTATCTGTTTGTCGATAACTCACCCCCTATTGCATAAGACTAAAAGATAAGTTGTGAAAATAAACGTGGAGAAATTGCACTTTACAATATAATGTTACGATGCTAATTTACACTGGCTAAATAGTCCAAGCTACTGACTTCATATGAAGGACATATTGACCAAAACGGTTCTATAATTATAAATTAATCAACACTATATTTTTTAATATATCGATATCTGATTACAGTTTGATACTAAGACTAGGGCAGCATTTATAGACGCGACCGTGAATTTTATCGGACCTTAGATAAACTGAGCCTATCTCGTATTTTGACAAATGTCAATAACAGACATCTGTAGGAAACTATCGATATATTACAGACAGTTTGCTTTGTGTACTTACAAATATATAGGCATTGAGAATTGTGCTTTGTCAAGGATTAGAAGCCGCATATGATACTCATATGACCTTGGAGAGGTTGTCTGAAGTCCTTTTGATAGAGGGTGCACACGTATTTTCAAAGATGTACTGAACTTTCAATATTGGGAATTGTAATCTTATATGTATTTTACCTTTATAAGCGGAAATGTACTTGTATAGACGAATAATTGAGAGAGATCTTAAAAAGTAGTAGTATGCTTTTAAAACAACTACCGCCACTGAGATATGCTTTTTTAAATCATTGAAACTACAAATCAGAATAGTATTTAACTCGTGGAGTACTGTATTTATAGACACAATTAAAGAACAATAGGTTGCGGTCACCGGTGACCGCTTGGTGTTTGACAGTTTAATCAACATAATAAAAGTAAACAATGAACATTCCTAAATGAATTACTAGAGGGCAAATATTTAAGGTCAAAAGTTGACGTGCACAATATACAAATTCAATATAATTATTATAGACATATTGCTGCTGCTATGTGCAGCAATATCTGTATGCCCTATGACCTACATAGTTAGTTTATCCTATGTTTACCTACAAATATAAATGGCGCCTAACAGTGTCGGACGTTTTATATAACGTTTGTTTGATAGTAATCTTCAAAAACGAACGGGTTACCGGGGCTCCGACTCGAAGTGCATGAATGGGGTGGTTTTTACTCAGTAAGAGTCTGACACTCCCTCCCGCCTCACCTAGGCGCCTAGGCGGGAGAAGTTAGTTGACTTCCCCCTTAAAAAATCTTCAACAACAGTTCTATGTTACGTTTAAAGATAATGAAGATCTTCTATAGCTACCTAATAAATTACAAGTACAACTAATGATTCCCTGCTGTTTATTAATTTCATACAGACTTTCGACGCTCAAACAAACGCCACTGCGTTGATATCGGGAATTTTACATTCAAAGAAGTCATTAACATTGGAATTAACTCATATCTAGACCAAACCACATTTATTTATTCTATTTAATATTTTAGTTCTATATGCTTCATTTTTTTACGATCACTGTATTACGATGCAATGAACGCTTGAGTTTCGTTTAAGTATTTTGGCTTTGGGAAATCCACAGAAATCTAATCTTTGTATGATAACTGCACATTTTGAATAAAATTATCGAATTTTTATTACATCATCAATGATTCAATGCGAAAGTCTCCCGATCACGACAAATTGCCATCATAGTGGGCATTTAAAAAAAATTCTATCAGACTAGGTCAAATGTCCAATAGGCAGGTACCTATAAGTACGCGACAAATAATATTACGTAAGTATTATAGTTACATAGCATTTTAATTACCTCTGGCATGTGGAGAAAGACCCTTGAAGACATTAATAATAACTACGGAGCTTACTGTTTACTGACACTTACCTTAATTTTATTTACTTCTCGTCATCTACTTAAGTAGCAGCCATGTTTGTTTCATTAAATTAATCACTTCGCTGAAATCGTTACCAGAAAACACTTTAAAAGAAAAAACCCTGTAATTAAGATACAAAAAAAACACTTTAAAGCAAAAACTCCATTTGACCATTTTAAGTAATTTCGGAATGGCCTTAAATTGATTCATTGTTTCAAAAACACATTCTGTTAAAGAGAATAAAAAATTAAAATAAATACAAACAACAGAACATACGTATATTGAAACATGTTGCGACATGTTTTTGTCAGAAGATATCTTACCTTACCTTAGAAGCAAACCTACCTATGCTTATTTTCAAATAAAAAATTGTGTCGTGGGTGTGTTCTAAACATTTATGAGATGAAACAACAGTAAATATACTTACATCATATAAATTAAAACATCTACTATACTAATTGTTACGTTATACTATACGCACCAGTGACTGCTCTGGTGTCGCGGGTGTCCATGGGCGGCGGTGATCGCTTACCATCAGGTGATTCATCTGCTCGTTTGCCTCCTATTCCATAAAAAACCACTATATTATACTATATCAAAATATACTTACATAATTCAGTAAAATGAAGGAAAAATGTACATAAGAACAGTAATACTGAAGCACAAAATTGAAATTAAATAAAGTATTTATATTCACCTACATTAAAGGCATGTATCCCGATAAAGAAAAAGCCTAAAGTATTAACTCGTCGAGTACCGGTTTTATAGACACAATTAAAGAACAATAGGTCGCGGTCACCGGTGACCGCTTGGTGTTTGACAGTTTAATATAACGGTATTAATAAATTTCAGGCGGAGAGTCAAGTAATAGTATCAGGAGTGAACGTCAGTAGAAGTTTCATTGGATCTCTAATATCTACAATAATCCTGCTGTTTGTTGGTCCATGGAGTGATTGTAGTGGGCGTCGGAAACCATTGCTTATACTACCATTAATCGGCATGAGTGTGATGACCACTGGTGTTATACTGATGCTGATATTCCCGGGAGCATCTACGGTCCAAGTCTTGTATGCTGTACAACTACCTATATCGCTAGGAGGGAATTTTGGATTACTACTGGCAGCCGCTTTCAGTCATATTGGTGACGTAAGTATGTTTATTAACTCTTGATTTTACTAAAATGCTTCTGACAAATTCGTATTAATAATTTCTACTTAAAAATTCTATTTTGTCTTTAAAGACTTGGTTGTTGTAAGCAAGTTTAAAATGTTAAAGTTAAAGTGTATTTGGTCCTTGATTTTTGTCAAGTAACTACATCGATAATGTTCGTCTCATACTCTCATCTATACCATGACTGAACAGGGTCCACACCTTGTTTATATATGTAGCGAACCTGCAGCTGTAGCCAAATTTTATTCAGCGCTTGTCTACTTGTAGAATAGAAAACCAAATTATATGGAGTTGACATAAATTTTGACACTTCTCTGTGTCATTCCCATAATTTAATTTTCTACTCTCTTGGTAGACAAGCGCTAAATTGGCGTTTGGCTGAAGGCACTGGTTTTACATTCTATGTACTTCTAAGCATTACAACAATCAAACTTATGCAACACACATTTAAAGATTACGCAGCCTGGACCGACTTTTTTCCATATAACTATAATATAGTTAACGTCGAATCAATCTTGCCTACATACGAATTGGACCTGCATACGATGACTGTTTGCAGTAATATTACGATTACATTTAGACCACTGTAAATACCATAAAACGAGCGTCATATTATTGCGTTAGACGAGAGATTTTAACAGCATTCTGTTAAGATTCGACTAAAATGTATGTATTGCATGTTGTATGATAGAACGTCTAAATAGTCTTTGTCGGGTAATAACTCTTGGGTACTTCAGCAACTAAAAAGAGACCATAGTGACATACAGTTAAGATTCAACATAAGTTATAAGGGATTAAACATTTAAATATCCTTTAATTCTTGAATACTACTCTAAAATTTCTAAATTAGTAGCACTGAGTCTGCGCTCAGTGTTTTGAGAGTTGACAGTAGTACGCCATTTTTTTAATCAATCAACTACACTTTAATCTAGATGATCTAGACCAACCTTAATGTCTAATATAATCTTAGTATTAATTGACACACAAAATTAAATATCAAAATAAATCATATCACCATTCATATTAGACATTTATAACGAAGCAACTTTGATCCAAATTATTATCTATCACAATTTGTGATCTATTACTTAATGAAGTAGACGAAGATAAATCGCAGTTTTGGTCCATTTTATATGGCATGGGAACGCCTGAAAGCAGGTTTCCAATACCTACTAGAAACGAAACTAGGTCAAATTATATTCTACTGTTTAGGCATCGCTCGGATTTGCCCTCGTTCGCGCCGGCAGTTTCCATAGGAAAGTAGAATTTATATGTTTATGGCGCTTACATGTACTAGGTTAGGTTAAAAAGGTTCTGCTGTCTTGATAAATATTGGATTTTTGTTTCAATATTCCATACTGTTTTATATTTAGTAGCTAACTTTTAAGGTCGGTTTTAAATTTTGCATTTTATTCCCCCAAAAGGTAGGCAATGGTGTCGGTTACATAGAACTGTAAGTACTTTAAGTTCCCAAGGACAATGTGATTGACGCACCCCTTAAAAATAATCGCACATATTTCCACGACATAGGTGTTTAAGGACGAGGAAGCCTCGAAAATCAAGTTTCGTAATGAACGAACGAAACGAACTGAATCCTTATAAAACCTGTTCTAAATGTTTGCAGTTATGCTTCGCAACTGGTCGTGACGTCACCCGGACTATGGGTACCCATCGAGCTGCTGTGCAGATAGCCCATGTATTGGGTGCAGTGGGAGGGCCCCTACTATACCGCACGTTTGGATTCTTCGGTGTGTTTCCACTTGTTTTATTTCTACAGGTATATACATTAATATATACGTTTCACTCCTCTTAACCCTTTACTAATTTACTATATAACAAAACAATAAAACGGCTAAATATCAGGCAAAGTACGTCCAATTTTAGTCCTCTTAAATTATGTTTATGTGGTCAGAGCAAATAGTAGCTTTAGGTACCTGTACCTGCTATCATGTCGTATATGTATGTATTTTACACACGTGTGCAACACATCACAGATGATGCTGCTTATAAAAGGTTAATAGAATCGAGGCCAAAGCCGTATGCGATCCATTTTTCATGATGAAATAAGAACTCAGCAACAAAGCTAACAAAATTTTCCATAACCAAAATAATATTTAATTTTCTATTTATACTTTGTCAAACAAGAATGAATTTTACAACTCCATAGTCTCAAAATAAAAAAGAAAAAAATAAATAAAAGATACTAGCAGAAAATCTCGATACCAAAAACAAATAAACTTCGACAAACATTGGGCGGAACTGTGAATAGCGGTCTTTGCACTAGAAAGAAGCTAAAAAAGCAAAAATTGGAATGAAAAGGCAAGCCAGCTAGCTGTGCATGCAGGAATTCGCGACTACCACCGCAAACCAAAGTGCCGGTCGATACTGAGAACGAAAACATCCCCTAGCTATTACATATTGCAGTTTTTAGGGCAGTTTTTAAATATTCCAAACCATAAACCTAGCTCTAATGTTGACCACAAATTTTTGAGTTGTATTTTTATTTGATTGAAATTGGGAATTATTTTTACTTATACCTAATTATTTTGTAAGTTGACCGGTAACACATGTTAGGAACACAAAAAGTATCGTGTTTATAGTTTTTGTATTTAAAAGTATAAAATATTAAATGCTTGCTTAATAAAATAAAGTGACATATTTTATTTAAAACTTAAGGCACAGGACATGGAAAACGAACTATAAGTTAGATACACACACTTTAAATATTGTTACACTTTCAATGTGATGATCACACATAAACGAACCAAATAATAATTATTTAAAATGATAAAGTGCCTCATAACTTACAAACAACCTTTTTAATCAACAATTATTAACCTTTCTTCAATTATAAAGTTTACTGGAGTTGTAATCCGAATCCTCCAAAAAATCGGAAACACAATAAGTTCCGTTACTCTGGGCAATGCCAATAACTTACTCACACATTATGACATTACAATTGAGTACTCGCCTTAATCAAAAATAAATTATTGCGACTGTTCAATACAATAAAATATTAAAAAATAATCACACTTTAATTAATTGATTTTATGACTAACTTAATTTTAGTACTTTTCCAGCAAATTTTTAAGCAATTAGTATGCTGTTTGACGCTAAAAAAGCGTGACGTCACAATACACAATCTCATACAAAATTCATAGAAAACTGTCGTTTTTCACAGTTCGAAAAAAGTATTGAATTTGACTAGTTGGCAAATACCCAATTCCATAAGAAAATTAACAAAACTTTTAATTACATTTCAGGTATCATCCCTAATATACGTGATAGTAGCAGTGAAAGATGTCAATGTGAACAGAGACAATAAAGTGTCTGTCTGTAATTGGAAGCTACCGTTCAATGCAGTGTACTGTCTGGTGAAGCCTAGAGAGGGACGCAAGAGAACTATTATATTCCTCATGCTGGTGGTCACGCTTGGAGACAGGATGCTGTTATCTGGTTAGTACTTATAGGATACCTACTTTCCAATTGCAATGTAAATTACCTCTTGACTGCTGGTATATAAGACACATTATAAAATAAATATTGTCTCTCGCGAGGATCTCCGTTCCGGCACACGACGGGTTAAACATTTTTCGGAATTTTGAATGAATTCGTGCATTTGTATTAAATAGCATACCGAACATAGTTACAAACATAATCTTAGTTATGTAGAGGATGTATACAATGTAATTTTATAGCTATTAGGTTATGTTATGTGTCCCATATTAGAAAGGGTGAGTCAAACACACCCTCTAATTACCAGTTATATTGTGAGTTTGTGAGCCCTATGTAAAAGAGGGTGAGTCATACATCGGCTATAATTTCAGATTCTATCCTATTTTCGGAAATAGATAATTCAATATTATATAATCTTAAGTGGCAATTAGCCTCCCTTACACTTTTATTTACCTTCTCTGGAGTAAAGAAAGTGTGGTTGTATTAAAAAAAATAAAGTAGGTTTATTATAAAAAGTATCAAAATACCTTTTTTCAAACTGCTACTAGATGGCGTGTCAGTACCTTTGTCTCTCTCTACGCTCGTGTAATCAATCCATTTTTACCGTTGCGCTACGCTTTCTTGCTACGCTTCACGCGTTCGTTCCAAATGATATCAATAGATGGCGTTGATACAATGATTATCTTCAAACCAATTTCGCTCGGGCTTGGTTGAAATAATAAAGAATTAATTAATATCTGACTACCAATAGAATAGAGTCTGGGTATATGTATAATAATAGCGTATATAGGCTAGCCTATTATGCAAACACCGAAAAAAATATTTTAGTTTTTTTTTCGATGTATATTAAGTAATAGCATCATCACAATCACACTCGACTTTTCACAGATGATGATTTTACAATAAATGTGTGCATCTCTGCCTACCTCTTTGATGATTAAAAGGCGCAATGTTGACATTGTTAACATTATATGTTGTAATAAGTTGTTTTCATCCATGCAATTATTAACATGTTATTTATTAATTTACAGCGGAGGTGTTAATCGCCTACATGTACTACCGGTATAAGTTCCACTGGACTGACGTCATGTTCGGGTCCTACCTCGCATTCAAGAACATTGTTAGTTTCATTGGTACGTATTCCTTGATTTCTATGTACAATTAAGTATCTTACTGTCGTACTAATATTATGAATGCGACAGTTTGTGTGTTTGTGTGTATGTTTTTTACTCAATCACTTTAAAACGGCTGAAGGGAACGGGTTGAAATTTGAAACAGAGATAGATTATGATCTGTAATACTTTTTGTCTCACGAAGGCGAAGCCGCAGACAGAAGCTAATCTATATATATAAAAGAAAGTCGTGTTAGTTATACCACTTATAACTCAAGAACGGCAGAATAGATTTGGCTGAAAATTGGTAGGGAGGTAACTTAGAGCCAGGAGACCGACATAGGACTTTTTAACCAATTTTTTTTTTACTTTTTTCCGAAAATCACGAACGGGGACGGGAAAAAATGGGATGGTACGCGTACGAAGTCGCGGGCAGAAGCTAGTATTATATAATATTCAATGCCCTAACGACTAAAGAAGCTGAGTTGGGATACTCCATTCATTGTTAACATCATCAGTACTTAATCGGCGGTACTTAATCCTTGATTTTTATAAAATGTCCAAACCTCAATGCCACCAAAAAATGTCAATACTAATTTTTTACCTGACAAAAACAGCGTGTTATTATTAACTTGAAGTCTCAGATCTTCAGACTTCAGATTCAAGGAAGCCCAATTATTTTTATGCAGACTACTTAAAAGTTTAATATTTTCACGTCTTCCAGAAATAAAACTTTATTAATTTTCGGGCTTACTCACGTAATTTTTTGACGACGAACTCAACTAGTTTCACGCCATACTAGAGGCTCATATTCTTAAGCAACATTCCGCGACATGTAAAGTAGCAGTACATAATAACATTAGTAAGCTTAAAATCATAATTATTAACTTAGTATGTCTCACGAAACATACCTATAATATAAATAAAAAATATTGGGGGGATCATCGTACCACAAGACAATCGGCGAAGCGTCACCGATTCATGGTAGATAGGGACATCTTCATCATCCCACCCACACGCACGAATCGCTTCGCATCAAGCTTCCTTGTGCGTACTGCTAAGGAATGGAATTTTTTGCCAGAGTCTGTATTTCCAGAAGAAGTGAATAGGTTGCTTATGGGTCGACGTACTCTATCGTAGGCCACATCATCGCTTACCACCCGGCTAGATATTGGTCAAAAGTCAGTCCCATCTAATAAAAAAAAAAAGTTTTGTGTAACACATTGTTTATATTTTCCAGGTACATTGTTAATTCTGTCAATACTAAAGCGTCGGTTACGACTATCTGACGAGACGGTGGGCATGTTGAGCTGTGCCTCGTACATCCTTGCTACCTCGGGCCTTATTGCAGCCACCATGACGTGGTGTGTTTTCATGTGTAAGTAAAAAAGAACGTATGACTTTTTTAAGTTAATATTTTTGAGAATTGAATTTGAAATCCTGATGATATTATTTTAGGACAGACCGAACACGTCTCTATTACTGAGATACTAGGAAAGGGTATCCAATATCCATAGAACTAAACTATCCAATATCCATAAAACGTAATAGTTTAAATACGATTTACGACTTAGGTACGATTATTTATCTTGTCTAAATATGTAGGTAAGCTATACCTGTAGGTACCTCTATTGTGACTCACGACATGCATGACTGATAAAATAACCTAAACCAAAAACTAGAACGCGCAGTAGCTTGTAGAATTGTTAAGGTTCCGTCTAGAAAATAATAAGGCTCTACGTTTCATTATCATGAAACTAGCCACTAGCCACAACGTATCCACTGCTTGCTCATAGCCACAAACTTCCCTTAATGTAGTTCAAACATAATTTAGAAATTTTTTGTTCCTTAGAACATTTGCTATTTGCACCCATTAAACCGCTACTTGAGGACCAATAAAGAATAATTAATTTAATTGAGTTTGAAATATAGTCATTAAATGTAGTCGTTGTAATATTGCAACTGCGAAAATCTTAAAAGAAATAGAGACTATCACACTAATATTATAAATGTGAACGTTTCTTTGTTTGGATGTTTGTTCGTTATCACGCTGAAACTACTGAACGGATTTTGATGTGGTATATAGGCAGGTATGGGTTGATTTAGGTTATAAGATTTTTATACAGGCTCCCATGGAATAAAATAGGAATCATATTCTACGCGGACGAAGTTGCGGGCAACAGCGAGTAATTAATAAAGAACAATCCGATTTGATATACAAGCTTTGTTTACATTCAAACCTAAACCAAAACTACAGTCACTGTGGAACTCTAAAAAGAAATTATCAGTTAGTCACCATAGATAAATAGATAATAAAACTTAATAAATCATTGTTTGTTTTCTTCAGTGTTTTGGCCGTGATTTTTTATCACATTTTTCTTTTATCATGGCGACGAAGCGAAATAATGTGATAAACAATTTACATAACTGAAACGATCAATAAACTTCCTTGTATACACAGCAGAGGTCATAAAGGACAAAATCCAAAAATATGCATCAGTATTGCTTTTTTGTAGGACATTATTGTTATGCTATTGATCAACAGTCATGACTATTCACTGCTAGACTGAACGGCATCTACAAAATCACCTGATGATAAGCAGTCGGCGTCGCCCATGGACACCTGAAACACCAGAGGCGTCACAAGTGTGTGACCGGCTTTTTGGGATTAGGATCAAATTCATTGTTCAGTGTAATGTGCACCTCTGCCTACCCTTTCGGGGATAAAAGGCGTGTTGTTATGTTATCCTAATCCCAAAAGGCCGGACTGTTGAGGATTCAGGGATTGGGGAGATTTTGGGGGGTTGTGTCTTCGGTAACTGGACGAAACACAACGCAATCGTTGTTTCACGTCGGTTTTCTGTGAGGCCGTGGTATCACTCCGGTTGAGCAGGCCTATTCGATGCATGGCTCTCCCACACTTAAAATGAAATTATTGTTCAAAAAATAACTTTGTAAAGGTTAAATTACTTCCCAACACCTTAATTACGAATCCTATCTCAATTCGATCAATCATTGTAATCATTTTTCGGAACATAAAAATGTGCACGTGGTACACATGACCAACATAATCGAATTTAATGACTATTAAAATCTACGATAGATGTATAATTTTGATTAAATAACCAAAAGGGGCTCAGTTGTTGATAATAAAAGAACACGCACCAACATCGATTATCTAAAATCGTTTACGCCTTATAAACAGAAGGCCAAGCACGAACTTCGGGGGACGTCGCTAAATCTGTTGAAATCATACCTTCAGGATAGGCAACTTAAAGTACAAGTAAATAAAGTAAATTCACAGGGTGCTAGCATATCTATGGGTGTACCGCAGGGCTCGATACTAGGTCCATTCTTATTTTTAGCGTACATAAATGACTTGCCCCATTTATTTAAAAATGAACCGCAGATGGTATTATTTGCTGATGACACTTCATTAGTTTTTAAAATTAATAGACGCACAAATAGTTATGACGACGTAAATAATGCCCTAATGAAAGTTCATAATTGGTTTACATTAAATAACTTAGTACTAAACAATAAAAAGACAAAATGTATTAAATTTGTTTTGCCAAATGTTAAAAGCAACGATTGTGACATATTATTGAATGGTGAGAAATTAGAGTTTGTAAAAGAGACAACTTTCCTGGGAATTACTGTAGACGACAAATTGCAATGGGGTCCTCACATTACATCATTAGCGGGACGATTGAGCTCTGCAGCTTATGCTGTCTGGAAGATACGACAGTTAACTGACATAGACACGGCAAGACTAGTGTATTTCAGTTACTTTCATAGCATTATGTCGTATGGCATCTTGCTGTGGGGACACGCTGCTGACATTGAATCTATCTTTATCTTACAAAAGCGCGCCGTCAGAGCTATCTACAATCTAGGTCGTCGCGAATCACTCAGAGAAAGGTTTAAGGAGATCAACATTATGACCGTTCCATGTCAATTTATTTATGAAAACATTATGTATGTTAGGAAAAACCTACAGTTATTTGGTAAAGTGTCGGACAGACACCACTATCAAACTAGACATAAGAATAGATTAAGTCAGCCAATTTCGAGATTAGCGAAAGTAAGTAAGTCGTTCATGGGATTCTGTGTTAAATGTTATAATAAGATACCAGGCGATGTACAACAACTGAATGAATCGAAATTTAAATTATGTATAAAGAAAACTTTATGTAGACAAGCATATTACAAACTTAATGAATATATAGAGGATAAAAATGCTTGGATGCAGGCTAGTCCGGCTCCACAGGATAACTAAAAACACTTGTTTTAATGAAATCGTAAATAATACAGCCATATTGCTAAATTGTATATTGTTTAACTTAGATAACCATTGTAAATGTGAGAGCCCTGTAATTAACTTAATATTAAATTAGATTAGTAGATTTCATTTGTGTCAGCTTGGAGTTGTCATGCTCACTCAAAGGTCTCATTGGCGGTGGCGCGTGCAGTGGATCGCTCGATTCCCTACAATATGGTTGAGTTGGGCGGTGCTGGTGTACGTGTCATGTTCGTGAACGGGCGCCGTCAACTGGGACTGGTCAGCTCCAGACTGTATTACTGTCCTTAAGGTTATTTTCTTTTTTGATCACTTTGACTGGATTTTAGTGTTACATTGTTCTCGCACAATCCAAACAGCAAAACTATGTAACTAGTAAATTGTATTGTGAACCTGATTGAAAAAGAGTAACCTATGGAGTTTCTTGCTCGTTCTTCTCCATAGGAATCTACGCCTTGGAATGAGCAAATAGCTTTACTTTAAATTTTTGTTTTTGTTGACGTTCAAAAGTGCCATTCTGGCCTAATTGAAATAAATGATTTTGACTTTGACTTTGACTTTGACTTTGACTTTGACTTTGACTTTCGAATAACTATCGCATTCGTATCGTAACAGTCGAGCGAGTTAAGCGTTCTGATTGGTTGGTTCACTTGAGACGGCCAATCAGAGCGCCGAATGCATTCGATACTATTACGTTACGAATGCGATAGTTATTCGTGCTTGGCACTCAGTTTGTTTTTGACCACGTGACTTATCGAAAACAATAAAAAATCCTATACAACAAGACAAGTTTAGGAACAAGACAATCTGGTTCCTAAACCGATAACGGGTATCGATACTTAACTTCCTAAGCCTGATGATCCTTGCGTACTTAGGCACTATCGATTGAAAACGTTACATGAGGTAATACATAAAATTAGGAACTCTATTCCACAATGATTAGGTACTTTATCATTTGATAACATGTAGATTGGATGGAAACACGAGCCCATATCAACAATCGGATATCAAAATAAGAACATTTTAAATATCACGAAATTGCCGGGGCTGTGTTAAGAAATTCAGATATCGATAAATAAGTAGGTAGATGCTGTTTGGCACGTAGCCAATAGCTATAAGTACTAATGTACCACCTACCACACTGAAAATTTCACAAGGTACTTACGTTACGTATGCTTTGAAGTTTATTCTTTGTGTGAATTTAAAATGAATAGGCAGCATACTTATAGATTAGCATATTGCGGAGAACCTAACGGGTTACCGGGGCTCCGGCTCGACGTGCAGGAGAAGGAACGGGGTGGTTTTTAGTCATTAAGAGTCTGACACTCCCTCCCGCCTCACCCAGGCGGGAGGAGTCATTTGATGAATTTCCCCCTGAAAAAAAACCTATAGATTAGCATGTGTATATTTATTATTATAGCATAACATAACGACTTTTTGTCTCCGAAGGGGTAGGCAGCGGTGCACATTACGGCACTTACTGCCACTGTACAATGTGACATCCACTATTCACTAATTATGTTCTGAGCCTCATGTAATAGGTGAGCCTATTGCCATATACCGGGCACAATTCCAAACACTGTGCTCTCAGGAAAAACTGTAATTTTTTAAAGAAATCCAGTAATTTTTTCCCGACCCGGGAATCGAACCCGAGACCCCGTGCCCGGTAGTCGCACTTGCGACAACTCGGTCAACGAGGCAGTCATTTGTTAAGTTTCTACTATTTACATACCTACTTAATTATATGTATGCTCTACAGTTATATTCTTCAATACCTAGAGTAAAGCATAAAATTCTCAAACCTCTCCAGAAAAATTTGAATATTATTAGAGTATACAGAACAGAATCAGGTGAGAACAAATATTAGGTGCTTTGCGGAAATCCGTACTAAACTTATAGGTACTTTATTCAGTTTTCAACACCTTTGTAGATATTTTTCTTAAAGTAGGAATTAGTTTTAAAACTAGCGTAAATAAATTGTTTTGTATGTAATATGTATTCTAGGAAACTATTTTGCATCATAATTTCAATTTATTGTTTTTAAAAACATCACGTGTTTTTTTTCCAGTGCCCTTGGTTGGTATTATTGCACAAGGCTCGCAGGTGGTACAAAGACCTCTACTGAATAAGCAGATATTACCGACAGAACAAGGTAAATATTCATTTCATTGTAATTTAGATCTTAATCTCTTCCCGACTAGTTCCGGTTTTCTGTGTACGACACATTATTTTATTTTCATTTTTGATGAACACAGACAATATTTTAACAAAATATAATTATCAAGGTGATGTTTTCAAAGCCGACATATAAATAAAGCACACACCATCAGCATCAATATAATTTAGCAAAAACTCAAAACCAATTCTAATTCCCCCATAAAAACTTGTTGTAATCAACATTTACTTCTATTCCTAAAGAACTAAGCATCAATTTCGTTTACAGGTAAAATTTACAGCGTGATGGGCTCTTTAGAATCGGCTATGCAGACGATGTCTTCACCTTTATACTCTTTGCTTTACACAAAGACCGTTGCAACTATGCCAGATGCATGGCTACTGCCAGGCATAGGACTAGCATTTATCCAACTATTTTCATATTTAATATCAAGGAAATTACGGCAATCACAAGACTTAAAAACAAATCCAACAGATCTCGCTGAAACTGGGAAGACTCCAGAAGCTAAAATACCATTGCGAACTAAGGAGGTTAAGTAGTATTTATTACTTTGTATTAAATTTTGTTAAGTGAATAAAAAGCATTTTGTAAACGAAAAAGTTAATTAAGTTAAGGGAAATAGATTATTTTTTATATAAATGTGTCTTTTATTTCTGCGTCTAAAAGAAATTTTATGCTTTGTATGACTACTAGCTGTGGATCCTGAAATAACAAGTAAGAGGTTTTTGGAGTAATTCTCATTTCCATGCTTCATCAAAATAGGTAGATAAAAGTCATTTTTAATAACTGTCTACTGTTCTCTACTACTTATCAATAAATTATCACCGATAGGTACTGTTCTGATCTTTAACCTAAGAATATCTAATTATCGTGATTAGCAATCAAAAATATGATCTAAAATTAGGAACTTAAAGCCCATTATAAATTTTATACATTAGGGATTACTGTTTTAATAAATGGTGCAATGCGAAGTAATTTACCGACTTTGACTTTGAATTTGAAACAAATAGTTTGTTTTTTATTTCAACTTTATCGTTATTATCAGTCCATCGTTATCTCGGCTCTCGGTGAAATGAAAGCAACTGTCATTTCTTCAGCTTGTTTGATAAACCTTATCGTGCATCTGCCGATACTTCAAGTTCAAACACATAAGGAAGTATCTCATCTTTTATATTCAAAGAATCATTGTTTTGTTATGGTATCAATAAAAAAATCGTCTCAAAGTTTCCATTGATTTTTTTAATAGGTAAGTCGATAAAAGAGCGGACGGATCACCTGATAGTAAGCCATCGGCGTCACCCTGGACTGGTGGTGGACACCTGGAACACCAGAGGCGTTACAAATGTGTCACTGGCCTTTTGAGGATTAAGGGATTCGGGAAGTGGGGGGGGGGGGTAATTAGGCCTCTTGATATAACACATTATGTACAGATATGATATTGAATTCCGTGGAATAGTGCAATATTGAATGACTTTAGTCATACAATGGACACCATTCCAGTCTTCGGTATCACTGAGCATTATGCCACTTATGACATATTATGGAATGAATGGTTCATTTGAACTTATCCAGTTAAATACATCATTTCGTCATATCTATCTTCCACTGGAGTAATCAGAGACAATGGCATGCCAAATACAACGGCTTTAGCAAATGCCTTTAGCCTCGTGTATGTAGACATTTATCATCGTTTCCTGCATGCTCTGCTATTGATTAAATGAATAATCCTATACTGTCTAAAATTCTGGATATCTCTTATTCAAAGCTAATTTAAACTGTCAAACACCAAGCGGTCACCGGTGACCGCAACCTATTGTTCTTTAATTGTGTCTATAAATACGGTACTCGACGAGTTAATTGTATAAATATTCCTAGTATCGGAAAGCCAGCAAATTGATCTAGGACATCATGCTCGGTAACTACAAAAGTCAATAGATAAACAAATAGTGTATTGGAATTTTTTTATCTATTCTCTATCCATAATAATCCATGTCTATGATATTATCTAAAATCCTTTGTTTTTGTTTTTAAGTTGTTTTGTTAACTTCAAATATATTGTCAACCCTACATATAAATGATTAGGTATGCTGCTATTGCCAGTGTTTGGCCAGGTGGGTAATTAGGGACCGATACGATGACTCCAAGAATTCACGTGCTATCCTTTATACATCTGCTTTAATTCATGTAGAATGATAATCAATAATAAATATTAAACATTCAATTATTTCTTATTATATTTAATAATGAGAACACACGCAACTTAACTACTTTTATTTTGTGAAATACCTAGTTATGTATTTAATAAAAAATACATTTCAGTGTATTCTAACATTTTACAGCTACACGTAGAATGTGTGAGAATACAATTTAAACATTTATTTAATACCGAGAATTTCGAAAATCCAAAAATCAATAAAGGAAGAGCCTTGAAAAACAACAGCGTATTTTTTACTGAAAACGCAACGAGCATTATCTTAATAAGGTCACATGTTGTGAATTATCACTCTCAATATAAAGCCACAAAATAGGAGATTACTTACAAACCTATACCATAATAAAAGATAATAATTACGAAAAATTCCCCAATAATTTTACTTTTTCTTTGAGGGTGAAAAATCATCCAATAACTTCTCTCGCCCGGGTGAGGCGAGAGAGAGTGTCAGACTCTTACTGACTAAACACCACCCTGTTCCTAATCCTGCACTTCGAGCCGGAGCTACGGCAACCGGTTAAGTCCTCCACGGCTCCCAGTTATTTTACTTGCTATCACAATACTAATATGGAAATACACCATTCATTCGTTCCTTCCACAATTACACCACTATAGAACATATCTTTTAATCTCAATACAACAACCTAATGAATCACTTTTTATCGTTTAGGTACTCTTTATCTTAATAGACGGTTCTATCGGTATGATAATCTTAATTCAATACCTACCTGAGGCGCTCCATGATTGCATAATCTCCTTCATGATTTTGATCTCTAGTTTTCAAAAACCTTGAAACATTTAAGGACATCCACCTCTAGGTTCACTCTAGGTTGCTTTAAACGAGGCGATGTTTTTTGTTGTTTGGGGTATTAGATATTGTCCAGACTAGCCTATCTTTTATGTTCTTCTATTTTGCCAACGAATATTTTCAAATACTTTCCCTTATCTTAATTCTGTATTCAGATCGTTGTTAATTACAACACATAGCTAGAAATTGATGAATCACCTGACCTGGTTACATTAGTAAGAGACCAAATGCTTGGATTAGTTTTCGAATCTGTAATCTGAAGGGTATTTCAATGTCGTCGGTGAAAACCTCAAACAAGCTGAAACAGCATAATTATCGCTCTCATTTTGACATGTGACCATGACATTATTGTATAGGTACATGTAACATTAAAGAACCGTAAAGATAGGCAGTATTAATAGCCTTAAAATAATTTAATAAGGACAAGATAGACGCTATTTATTGCACGATAGTATCATAAATTATCAAAGGATCATTTACTGAAATGTGTCAACGTTTTAATGCATTGGATTACTACAAATTATACTGCACTGCAGGTGATTGTAATGATTCTAGAGACGCAATAGCCGTCACGTCGCGTCTCCCAGACAAACTGATCTATATAATATAGAAGTCACACCATAGAACAAAATAGTTTCTAAGTGTCCCACATATGGTATTTTTCAAACCTTTATGATGAATTATTTTCACAAAATAAAAGAGAACGGAGCGATACCCGATACACAAAAACAAAGAGAGACCGTCGTGATTTATAGCGATAGCATAACTCTGTCAAATAATCCGATAAAAAAAAGTATAAATACATGCCGCACCCCAATCTATTAGCAGATTGTAAAATCGAACGGTAGATCTACCAGTGAATTTTTATTACAAATTTTTATTTGGAAATTATATCAAGTAAGTACAAACAATTCTTGAGAAGAAAACCCACAGTGATATCCGTTGCTATATTATTTTAAAAATCAGTGAATCTTTAAGTTTTTCAAGTGTTTATTCGGAATTCTCTGTCTTCAGTGCGACTAAATTCTGTTGTGATTGAAAAATACGATATTAATTAGAGAAATTTCTTCCCAGAATGCAACGCCCAGGCCCAGGATTTAACCAAGGTTTCGGCCCCGGTGGCATGAACAACGGTATGCCCATGCACCCAGGCGCGCCTGGTGGTCCTGCGAGGTTCAACAACCCTGGAGGTCCTATGTACGCACCAGGCTATGGCCAGCCCATGGGAGGCCCACAGCAGCCTCACCAGAGCTTCCAGCCAAACAATGGATGCTTTATGCCGGCAGCCACCATCCGCAAGATCAGCAACACGACGCCACCACAAAGATTTGACCCCTCGTTTGGTCAATAATCTTGATCCGCCTGAATCTCTGCCTGTATAGTATACCGTTATGCTAACTTAAGTTATTGTTATATTATTTAGATAAGTTATAAAATAAACAGTTGTACAACTAATCTGGTCTTTGTATAAGTATAATTATTCATTACTTATTATTTATCTCCTTTTCGTGTTGCTACTTTAACAAGCTCTTATATTGAGATACAAATTGTGCTCTTGAGATGAACTTGTCAATCCAATAAATTAACAAAAATATAGGAAGACAAAAATATCGAAATAAACTCAATTAATCCAGTTCGAAGTAGTTTTATTGATGACTAATTGATAAAAATAATCCTTTCTTAGGCTAAATCAATGAAGGACACATAATTAAAATTACTAGCAAAACAGGCAATGGTTGATTTGCCTGGAAAAGTTGCGATAGATGCGCTACGCATAATGCGGTTGATTTTGATAATGAATATAAATACCCATAGTGAGTTTGTTTACACACAAAATTACATCCAAATTGAGGAAGAAAAAATATAGGTAAGATTGGCTGCTTTACTTGAGACGTATCCTCGAACCGAATGACCTTGAAATTGCTTAAACATTGAATCGATTTCAATTCAAAAAAGCAACTCAGTGTAATCTTTGCCAACAGCTTTAGATAGTAATAAAAACAAAGTTCGAAATATCAGACAAATCCGGAGATAAAGACGGGATATTGCAAATACTGCAATGTCTGCAATAGATAGGTATCAATAATATAATTTTATAGTATAATAAGCCTGAGTGTATACAAAACGTAGGACGATTTGTACGGGACTGCAACAGCGCGGCTGCGTGGCTGCTATTGGTGAAAATTCTCGCAGGCGCTCTGTTTCACCTAGTTGGTAACAAGTACTTACAACTTACTGATGGAAGCTACGCCTAGCGAATATTATTTGTTATAATAATAACATTTACGATATTCGATTTGTAATTGGGATTTACCAATGAACAAATTCCGCTTTTAAAGATTGCAGACTCGATAATTCAAAGTAACGATTACGATCTTAAAAACAATAAATCGTATGCAATAGGAAATCAAAGAACCTTATCAAATCCTGTAAGGTTTTATATTACTTACTAGTTATATATGATATCTGATTCCGCACTATTTGACGAATAAGTACCTAAATATCTTCAAAACATACAA